TCAGGCACTGCCCGAGGGCCCGGGGTCAGTAGGGGGCCCCCATGTGATGCCCCTGGTACTTTTTTTATAGGCTTTTTTGAGTTTGGGCAAGGACACAGGGGCCCCATGAGTTGTCAGCCCGCCCCTGGCTGCAGAGGCACGTTTTGGTAACTTTTGTACTTGCGTGTCATTGGGATGAGATTTGCTCTGCAAAATCCTCAATATGCATGACCAAAAAACCCACCATATATTAGCAACTCTTCCCACTGCCAATAGAGGGTTACAAGCAGGATAGTATCTCTCCTCATTTGATGTGTTCTCAGCCATGGTTGTGCAGAAAGTGACAGAATCATTGTTCTGTTGTAGAGTTACCACTACATCCCACATGAACTGCTACCCAGATTGGGATGGAGAATTATTGCTTGATAGATCAAAATGTAGTAAGATAAAAAGACACACAGGTTGGGGTTAAGAATAGCTGCAGATGAAAAAATATCTTCCACTTAGATACTAGTGTCTCATATCACCTGACTTTGAAATATGCACATACACACCTGAAGAATTGTATTCAGATATTTGTCTGCAATTCAGATACAAGAATGTGTGCTCAGATCACCCCAGCAACACTTGGCTAGAAAACAAAAAACAAAACAAAAAATAAAAACCCTCCATGCTAGGGGCTGGTTTACTAAAGAAGTTGAAAACTAACTCAGTACATTGTATGAATATTCACTCAGTTATCCAGTCATGTGCAGAAGAAATGAGTACAGAAGAATCCACTATTCACATGATTGGATAACTGAAGTGAACATGCATACAATTTACTGTGTGGAAATTCTCAGCTCCTTCAGTAAACCAGCCCAACAGTCTCCAGTTTTCTTGTCCACCTTCAGAGCATGTGGGAGCACCATTTTCCAAGGAAGCAGAGGATAAAAGTATGTAGAGGTGCTTTTACTCTGCCCTAGAATAGGCAGTTAACCCTTGCAGAGTTTTAAATTTTCAAATTTCACAGAGCTGGGCTTTAAATTAATTGATGGCACAAACCGCATTCCTCTGGACTAAAAAGATTGGAAGAGGCTTCCTGGACTGAACCATGCGCCTCGCCTCTCCCTCCTCGCCCATGCGCCTCTCTTCTCCCTCCTCGCCCATGCGCCTCTCTTCTCCCTCCAAGTCCATGCGCCTCTCCTGCCTCGCTCCAAGTCCATGCGCCTCTCCTGCCTCGCTCCAAGTCCATGCGCCTCTCCTGCCTCGCTCCAAGTCCATGCGCCTCTCCTGCCTCGCTCCCCGTCCATGCGCCTCTCCTGCCTCGCTCCCCGTCCATGCGCCTCTCCTGCCTCGCTCCCCGTCCATGCGCCTCTCCTGCCTCGCTCCCCGTCCATGCGCCTCTCCTGCCTCGCTCCCCGTCCATGCGCCTCTCCTGCCTCGCTCCCCGTCCATGCGCCTCTCCTGCCTCGCTCCCCGTCCATGCGCCTCTCCTGCCTCGCTCCCCGTCCATGCGCCTCTCCTGCCTCGCTCCCCGTCCATGCGCCTCTCCTGCCTCGCTCCCCGTCCATGCGCCTCTCCTGCCTCGCTCCCCGTCCATGCGCCTCTCCTGCCTCGCTCTCCCCCCGTCCATGCGCCTCTCCTGCCTCGCTCCCCGTCCATGCGCCTCTCCTGCCTCGCTCCCCGTCCATGCGCCTCTCCTCTACCGCCTTGTTCCTCATTGCCCATCCATACACCTCTCCTCTCCCACACGCCTCTCCTCTCCCTCCTTGTTGCCCATCCATACAATTTTTCCTCACTGTCCATCCATACACCTCTCCTATCCCTCCTCATTGCCCCTCCACACACACACACCAAACCTTCTTCCTCAATGTCCCTCCATACACCTCTGCTTATTGTTATGTCCCTCTGGTAATTGTGTACATTTTGGAACTTTGACGCAAGCACTTGATAATTTTGGCACACATTATCAGACAATAATAGAAAACTGACACATATCACTTATAAAGTGTGGCATAACTGGTACAACAATGCCATTGCTGATTTGGCTCCCAGAAAATGTATTGACACTAAAATGACATGTTTGCACACACACGCCAAAAGTATTGGACACCCTTCCAAATCATTGGATTCAGGTGTTCCAATCAGCTCCAATGGTCACAGCTGTATAAAATCAAGCACCTAGACATGCAGACTGCTTCTACAAACATTTGTGAAAGAAAAGGGTCGCTCTCAGGAGTTCAATGATTTCAAAAGCGGTACTGCAAAATTTCCTTGCTACTAAATATTCCACGGTCAACTGTTAGTGGTATTATAACAAAGTGGAAGCAACTGGGAACAACAGCAACTCAGCCACGTAAAATAACAGAGCGGGGTCAGAGCATGTTGAAGCTTACAGTGCACAGAATTCGCCAACTGTCTGCAGAGTCAATAGCTAAAGACCTCCAAACTTTGTGTGGCCTTCAGATTAGGATAACAGTGCGTAGAGAGTGTCAGAGAATTTGTTTCCATCGCCGAGTATCTGCATCCAAGCCTTACATCACAAAGTGGAATGCAAAGCGTCAGATGCTGTGATGTAAAGCACGCCACCACTGGACTCTAGAGCAGTGGAGATGTGTTCTCTGGATTGACGACTCATGCTTCTCTGTCTGACATGTCTGGATTTGGCAGTTGCCAGGAGAATGGTACTTGCCTGAATGCATTGTGCCAAGTGTAAAGTTTGGTGGAGGGGGTTATGGTGTGGGGGTGTTTATCAGGAGGTTGGGCATAGCGCCAGTGAAGGGAAACTCCTAAGGCATCAGCATACCAATTTTGGACAATTTCATGCTCCCAACTTTGTGGGAACAGTTTGGGGATGGCCCCTTCCTGTTCCAACATGACTGCACAGCAGTGCACAAAGCAAGGGTCCATAAAGAAATGGATTAGCGAGTTTGGGGTGGAGGAACTTGACTGGCCTGCACAGAGCCCTGGCCTCAACCTGATAGAACACCTTTGGGATGAATTAGAGTAGAGACTGCAAGCCAGGCCTTCTCGTCAGTGCCTGACCTCACAAATACACTTCTGGAAGAATGGTCAAACATTCCCATAGACACCCTCCTAAACCTTGTGGAGTTCTGACTTTGATAAAACACAAACTGTGTAAACGCGTCATCATGGCAACCAAGACTTCCCAGCAGAGCTCCTTGCTTTCCACCCTGTCTGAGCACCATGACATCACTTCCACAGCACAATCTCCTATGACACAATTATCCCTTTCTGCAGCCTGGGGGGACACTACACCTATCTTCCCATATACCGCTTTATGCAACAGGCTCTGAACTCACATGGTTTGCCATCTCCAGTTCATACAGAGGACCTCTCACAGCCACGATGCCCATTAGTTGCTGCTTTATTGCATCATTAAACTTTTTCTGGATTGGAATGTTATCCGTCTATTCAGTGACCTTGTACCACAAGTGCTGTACTGTCTTACTGCTAAACCTTGTGGGTGGCCTTCCAAGAAGAGTTGAAGCTGGTATAGCTGTAAAGGGTGGGCCCAACTCAATACTGAACCCTACAGACTGAGACACCATCAAAGTTCATGTGTGTGTGTAAAGGCAGACGTCTGGGCCATTCGGAAACTCGGGCACTGCCAGAGGGTCCGGGGTCAGTAGGGGGCCCCCATGAGATGTCCCTGGTACCTTTTTCATAGGCTTTTTTGATTTTGGGCAAGGACACGGGGGCCCATGAGTTGTCAGTCCACCCCTGCAGACGTCCCAATACTTTTGCAATATAGGAGAAAAAATATATATATTTTATTTATTTGATAGAGAGAGACACTTCTGATTTTAAATATGATACAAGCAGGTATAATTGTTTGATTACTGATACACAAAAAAAAAAAAAAAAAATATATATATATATATATATTATATATATATATATATATATATATAAAATATATATATATATAAAATTTTTGTGTGTATCTATCAGTAATCAAAAAATTATACCTGCTTGTATCATATATTCAAAAGTCAGGTGTAGGTGTGTGTGTATGTGTATATATATATATATATAATTAATATATATATATATATATATATATATATATATATATATTTTTTTTTTTTTTTTTTTTTTTATTATACACACAACTGCTGAGTGATTTGTGTATCTCTCTCTCTCTCTCTCACACACACATATAGAGTATGATTTGTATATGTCACACACCCATATTTATATATCTCAGACACACAAATTAGTATATATATATATATATATAATGGTTTGTATAACACACACACACACATACATATATATATATATATATATATATATATATATATATATATATATATATATATATATATGATTTGTTTATAAACACACACACACACACACACACACACACACACACACACACATATATATATATATAATATATGGTTTGTATTTCTCTCTCTCTCTCTCATATATATATATATATATATATAATAATGGTTTGTATATATATATATCTCTCTCTCTCACATATATATAATGGTTTGTATATCTCTCTCTCTCACATATATATATATATAATGGTTTGTATATCTCTCTCTCTCACATATATATATATAATGGTTTGTATATCTCTCTCACATATATATATATAATGGTTTGTATATCTCTCTCACATATATATATAATGGTTTGTATATCTCTCTCTCTCACATATATATATATATATATATATTATATATATATATATAATGGTTTGTATATCTCTCTCTCACATATATATATAATGGTTTGTATATCTCTCTCTCACATATATATATATATATATTATATACTATATATATATATATATATATATATATAATGGTTTGTATATCGCTCTCTCTCTCACATATATATATATATAATGGTTTGTATATCTCTCTCTCTCACATATATATATATATATATAATGGTTTGTATAACACCGCACACACACATCCATCTTCCAGCTGTGCCTCCAGAACTAGTAGCAGAGTGGCGGTGTGAGTATTGCCCTCTCCCATACAGATACCCACCGGTCCCCGTGTGGTAGGGGTAGGCAGGCGGTTGGTAGACGGTCTGAGCTGCCTGCTGGGGGGCTCCAGGAATAGTTCCATAGTTGGTTTGCTGTCCATAGTCGTAGCCCCCCGGTACGGGGGGACTGTAGGCGGGAGGTCGGTCCTCCAGGAGCGGCTTGTTATCCATGCTGAGTCCGGCCAGGTGATCCCTCTGGCTCCGCTGGCCACTACACACTGCCAGGTGTCCTCCTCCCTGTAATGAGTGCGGCCAGTCACAAGACTCGGGTCATGTGACCAATCCCCACTGCATGACTCTCCCCCCCCCGTCAGGAAGCTCCTCTTAAAGGCGCCGCGCGCACCCGCTGCATGATCCGAGGGCTGGCAGTGTGGAGGGGCGGGGTGGAGAGGGTTAATGGTCTCTAACCTGAGATCAGAGTATCAGTGGAATGTGGCTCATGTCTATACAGAGCTAGAATGGGGTGTATTCTACCATGAGGGGAGATCACATGTGTCAGAAGTGGACAGGGCTGCTGTTAGAAACCATGGGGCCCCATACAGCCAACCTGACAGGGCCCCCACCAAAAATACAGTTTACAGTGCTTCAGTTGTGAATGAACACAGTGAGTGATTAATACCGATCATGCATTGTGTTCATTCAGGACAGGAAGGGGCTGGTAAATGTGACAAATTTACTGGACCCTTCCCCCACTCTCCATCCTGAAGGATCCCATTGTGTGCCTGCAGCTGCCAGCGGGAAACACTGTGGGGGGTAAGCAGGGGCGGACTGACAACTCATGGGGCCCCCTGGCAATAGGGGATCATGGGGCCCCTGTGTCATCACCCACACCCAAAAAAGCCTATGAAAAAGCCAATGAAAGGTACCAGGGGCATCTCATGGGGCCCCCTACTGACCCCGGGCCCTCAGGCGGGGGGGGCAATTACTAAAACCGATGACCTGTATGGCTCCCTCTGACAGCCAGCTGGGAGAGGAGAAGAGTCCAGCTTTCAGCTGCTGCAGAGAGAGTCATACAGGGGATCGGTTCCAGTAATTGCCCCTCGCTGTGCCGATCACACTTCCTGCCCACGCCTGGTTCACTCAGCTCCCTGGGCCCTTCCTGCTAGCCTGGGCCCGGTACAGGAGGACTGGTGGTACCCCCTTATCCACGGCCCTGGAAGTGGAATAGAAAGCCACGGGCTGGTACAGAAGAGCTTGCAATTAGTACAGAGGCCCATATACACCAAATACATCAGGCTGAGATGAGCTCAAGCATCCTTTCAAACCCAACTCCAACATTCCGCAGTTCGTGTTACTAAGCAGTCAGGAATGACAGCACAGCTCATTGGAGTTCAAAATGAGTGTTTGGCTATAGAGGAGTTCACAGGACACCGAGTTCCTCTGTAGTGCTGGGCAGCTTTGCCCAAACACATAGACAAGGCAATTTGCCTTATACCCTATTAGCCCAGCCCACACAGCTATGCTGCGGTGTACGCCAGTAGAACATGCTGCACCTTTATGCGTGTTGTGATGTACTACACCCCATCACATCACGCTATGGTGCCTAAAGATAGTTAAAATGTCATTTTGTGATATCTTAATAAAGTTAACAAAAACAGTAAGCATTTCATGGTAACAAAGCATCAGTTCACCTCCTTACAGAGCACAGCAGCTTCATGTTATACATAGTATAGATTCTAGAACAGGGGTCTCCAAACTTTCTAAACAAAGGGCCATTTTGGTTTATTAAAGATATGCAAAAAAAAACACGTCAAAAAAGTATTCCAGTGGCACAAACCTTGTGCCAAAATAAATTAAATATAACTGTGTAATTTAATTTATTTTGGCACAGGCTTTCTCACGTGGTGATCCTTTGATGGACTGAGTTATTTGGACTTTTTGTTTGGAATAACATAAAATATTCATGATTTATTTCACACCATTAATATTGTTTAAGTGGACAATTTTATTTATTATATATTATTCATTATTTATTGTTCACATTATTTATATATGCATTTTTATAAATATTTTGTACACTGATAATTGATTTATGTGCCACTGGAATACTTTTTTTTTAAGTGTTCTTTTGCATATGTTTAATATATTTTAAAGAGGCAGCGTCGTATTTATACACGGATAGGATCCAGGAAAGATATCATTTTTATTTTTGTTTGTTTGCATATTTAGCGCAGTTTGGTGGTCTCTCACCTTATTTATCTCTATACATTTTGGTTTATTGTTCGTCAGAGTTTAACTAGGCCGTGGCCAGCAGGAGTGGAAATTTTCCTAGCATTTGTGGGAATAAACATCGCCACATTTGGTGCTATGGGGAGGAATACTGCCCCATCATTGGTATCATTGGAAGAAATAATGCCTCATTGTTGGTGTCAGTGGGATGAATGTTGCCCCATTGTTGATGTCAGTTGGCAGAATATTGTGTCGTATCAGCCTCTCTAGCAGATGCATTGAACTGTGCTTTGCTTTTTGCACTTCTGGGACTTGTGGTTCTACGTTGTCTGTGTGGCTTTCTGGATACTGGTGATTTAGATGAGGACTAAAAATGTCCGTTGATTATCTGCTCCTGTCCTAATTAATCTTTGCTAGCTAGCTTTCAAATGTGCGCACACTGGAAGAGACTCACGCTGACACATAAATTCAGTCTATGAACACTTCTAGTTTATTATAATGAGAAAGTGAGCTTATATATGCAAAATGATGCGAGAGTCATGTGAGAACAGCATAAGCATTATATTAGTCTTTGATTGGTCATTTCCACAGGAAAACAATCTCAGTCATGGTATAGGTGTGATCTTCTTCCAGGTCTTATCTATAGAAAGAAAAACATTCCTTTGTCTCAAGTTGGCAGGATGGGAGGGGGTCGGTGTGTGTGAGCAGACATTTCTTAAACAAGAATTTCTTAAAATACCACAAAGCCCAGCAGGCACAAAATTCACACAACATATATATATATTCAATAGGAAACAAAATAGGCATTTTACCATATCCATCACACTGGGACTTTGTTCTACTGTCAGCTGTTATCAACTGTTGCCTGTGTGGTCTTGAAACTGCGGTCAGGACACAGAGCCCTCCGAAGACCCGTGAGGAGTTGGTGCCTATCTGCCTAGACTTCCTCTGCTGAGACCACTGCTGGCTGGTGAGTCCCTGAATTGCTATCCTGTGCCAAGAACTTTGCCCTGTGTGCTGGACTCAACCCTAATCTGCCTAGAACCTTTTGCCCCGTATGCTGGACTTAACCCTTATCTGCCCGGAACCCTTTGCCCTGTGCGCTGGGCTTAACCCCACTCTGCCCGGAACCCTTTGCCCTGTGTGCTGGGCTTAACTCTACTCTGCCCAGAACCCTTTGCCCTGTGTGCTGGACTTAACTCTGCTCTGTGTTGTTTGCCCTGTGGACTACTTGCCCTCTGCTCCCCCATATTGCCACCCTGAGGATCATTCTTCTTTGCTCTGTCTGGTGTTGTTCTGTGCACTAGTTTTTCTTTTGTCTGATCCTGAGTTTCCCCAGTAAATGCCTCCATGTTGGGTTTCCTGTAATCTGCCTCTGTGTGCTCTCTCTCTGTGCTCCTAGGTCATCACAGGCTGGATAAAGGCAAGCAAAGGGTCACATTCGGCCCCCGGGCCACAGTTTGGTGACCACTGTTCTTTCTCAAGCTTTTTTTTTTTTTTTTTCAAAGTATTTACTGGGATTTTTAAAGAAAATGTACAGCACAAATTCTCAGTACAACAGGTAATACATAAAAAAGTGGTAAGAGGACAAAACAATACAATACGATGCGGGTCGGTGCATCAATAATAGTGAGAGCAGTGCAAGATAAGGCAGCTATTGATACAAAAATGGCCAAAAAGACCACATGAGCAAGATTCAGATGTATAGCTGCACAAAGAAGTTTATGAACCCATGGGGTCTGCATCTCATAGCTGATTGGGGCTGCTGACACCCTCATGGAGGAGGTAGTATTCGCCCTGAACAAACTAGCGGACAAAAAGTCCATAAGGGGCTCAACCTATTCAACACAGAGGAACCTTTGAAATAACTTTCTAGTTTTAGGGAACCCCTGCTAAAAATGACTATATCCATAGCTCCCAACTGTCCACTGTCCCTGATTTCGAGGGACTGTCCCTCATTTGAAACAGTCCCTCTGTCCCTTCTTCCTCTTCATTTGTCCCTCATTTTGACCTGATCTATATAGTTGTATGTTTTCTCAAACACAGACCAGACACAGGCCACAGTCATAAAAAGAGTACAACAAGAGAGATAATGGCTTACACTCTAACCGTATAACTGGAGAGGATATCGCCACTAATACTCACACCCCAGAGAGGGAGACCGTTGCAGGGAGAGATATTCAGTGACAGAGGAACCATACACATGGAGGATCCAGTTTTGTGATCCCAAAAGTGTTTTGACCCCTGCTGGTCGAAGCAATGAGGTGAGAGGCTAATTCAGCTACTTACAGATACTCTTCTGTGGTTACGCACATTCACTATCCACGGGCAAGATTGTACATCTTGGTTTTTGGATTGCAAGGTGTTGATAGCACCATTTTGGACTTTTTTTCACATATATTTTGTTGTTATTTGTCATGCGTTTTGTTGCATGCTTTATGTCAGATAAGACTGCACGGACATTTTCCACTATTGCATATATATATATATTTTTTTTTATTTATTTGAATATGTATCTGATGTATACACCTTTATATGGATACACCATGTATCCATATATATTTTGAGTTTACATATTTTTTTGTATTATTTATGCACATCTGGTCTTGCAGAAAACATTCACTTGCATGTTTATGCGTTTGTTCTTAATTTGAGTCCAACTCCTTTGGACATATAACCCACAAGTCCCTATTTGGACTATTATTCGCCATCACCTTCAAATCCTGTTTAGGATTAACTCACTCTTGTTACTTAAAAATAAATATCGGTTCACACATTGTTTATTACCATTTATGTGGTTGTACATTTTTCACTTCTTATTCACCTTTGGATCCGATCACAATCAGATCATGGTTAGATATTTGTAAAGACCCCATGTGGATCTAATCACATTTTTTCTTTTGCACATTGTGTCACTTTATATATTGTTTCTATTTTTATGCTTACATTAGTATAATATGGGACTTATGGTTTATGAGTAGCGCTGTATCATTTTTTCTCATTGCATTTATTTGATCATTGGTATATGATTGGATGTTAGCAGCTTCTCTTTGATTTATGAATTACATTGCAGGTAGAAGCGCAGGAGGTTTACACCACTA